TCATGCGGAGGTTCAGGTCGTTGACCTGGGCATCGACTCGGAGAGAGGTCTCCTCGTCGGGAATCATGTCCCAGTGATCCTCGGTTGGCCGGGAACCGGACGCGACCATGGTGCGGGGAGCCGCTTTGCTCTTGGCATGCTGGCTTCGAGAGGCCGGTGGCTCGGTCTCCGTCGTCTGCAGTAGCTCTTCTTCCAGAGCTTCGGCCTCTTGGACATGACGCTCCACATACACCAGAAAGATCTTGTGAGCATGCTTGCTGCTGGTACCCAGGTGGTCGCAGCACCATCTCACCCACGACTCTTCGTTCACCACCACATCCTGAAAGGTGCGGCCCTTCTGTTGCTTTCCGAAGGAAATGGTGACGCGTCCCAGCTCGGGGAGCGGGATGGTCCGAGCCTGCTCCAGAGTGTAGGAAACTGTCTCGTCTTTTAGGCGTGAGAACCTTGCTCCCAACGACAGATTCCCGGCTTCGGCTGAAGCGGACACGATGCTGGAGGCTTTGCTCTGGGCCATTCCGGAAGGAGGCTTGGGGATGAGAGGTAACAGGCTCGGGCACAGTTGAGCTGTTCACGGCTACACGTTGGAATAGCTTTCTTGTACAGTTCTTGGTTTCATCTTTCGGGAATTGGGCTAGGGACGACTGAACATTATCGGACTCCGGGTATTTACGGAATCGGGTAAAGGCTGAATTCTGCACCTGGGGACCCCGGGAGAAACGCTTGGCTGGGCTTGTACACTGGTTTGCCGGCTTCTCACTCACCACAGGTTGTTCAGTTTGCATGCACGACTCAAGGGCTTGGCAGGGCTTGTCGGGTTCATCGGCATTCACGGCTGCTTTGGGTGGTTTTCCATTGCTCGGGGGAACGGCTTCATCAACATGCTGGCATGGGGATTCATTGGCCTGGCAGCTTTCTTCACTCAAACCGGCAAGGTCCAGCATGTAAAGGCCGGTCGCGCCTTCGCGCAACGGGAACGTCTTTCGGAGACGTCGCAGGCAGCACGTGTCATCGTTTGTATCGATAACCCCACCTAGCTGCTTTATTGCCCGCTTAGAGAATAGCAGAGGAGTGCTACCCGGGACAATCTCCACTCCAAGCCACAAAATCTGGCGATCTACGGTCCTGATGGGCACTAAGAGGCGCTTCGGGCTAACTAAGGTCTGATTATTCCCGAACCGAAACTTAACCGAACTCTTAGTAACCCGAATCATGCCCCGGACCTGGTCACTCAACTGGCTCAAGAACCTATCCAAAAGAGCTTGTCCCATGACACAACGGCTTGCACCCGTGTCCAGGATTGCTTCTACGGCGGTCGCACCTTGCAATGCAACCTCAGTCGGATTTGGCTCATCAGGAGCG